CCCCAAAACCCCAAAACCCCAAAACCCCAAAACCCCAAAACCCCAAAACCCCAAAACCCCAAAGGGTGTTTAACACATTGGATTCGCAAAATATATAAAGAAAGCTAATATTCAATTAAAAAGGTGACAGCTTCCTCATAATTACCCTTTTCCAGATTCTGATCAATGGTTTGAGTTCTCTTAAGCCTTTCATCTTCGGTTAGCGCGTAAAGATGGGCAAGCTCCTTCTTTACAAACCTTCCCTCTTTACGTGGCTTTTTGAAGGCAGAATGTCTTCTACCTTGAGTAACTCTTCGAGATTGGTCACTGTTGTCTTCTCTTTCTCTGTTTCTCTCTCAATTTAGCAATTTTATTTCTTCTTTCTTTCTGGGTGTAAAAACCAACCAACTTTCCTTCTTTTACCCTTGTAGATTTTACAGTATCTTGGGGATTCCACTCATAATCACTTTTTGGTACTTGATGAATTTCAGGCCCTATATCAGAGAATTATTCCCCGCTTGTTACTAAGTGTTGATCATTTATCTAAAAATCTGAGCGATTTGCTAAACCTTCAGCTACTATAGAGGAGCCTTGGGCTCCTCTATAGTTCGAAAGTTACGAAAATCTTGAAATTGATTAGAATATTTCTTAAATGAGGCAAGTCTAGCAGGAACATAAAGGAAGAAGCGAGGGTCCTAGGCCCTCGCTTGCTCTATTCCTTATGCTACCTCCTTCATTTCAGAATGTTTAACAAAGATTTACTAAAGCCCTTTAGCATGAAGTAATTTTTTACTAACGCTTAAGAATATTTTCGAAAAATTCATACTAATTTCTTTCACAAGGTACTATTTTTGGCTGCAAATAAAACCAGAGATGTACAAAAGTTGCCAGGGACGAATTTTGTACATTGTTTTGGCTAGGTGGAAGACTAACAATAGTTTTGCCCTTAAGTAATGGACGGTGGATATGAAATAGATAGTTTTTATACTCAACTTGTCTTTAAGTGTAAAAACCCACAATTGTGATTAAGATTTTTATGATGACAGGTTTTTATATTTCTTGTGTACAAACTCAAAGGAGTAAAAATTCATATAGTTTAGTTTCTTGCTTATTTCAGCTTATCTCCAAAGCTGTTAGCTCTGATTGTATAAAATTTGTGATGAAAAATAGTAGATTTGTGGAAATTTTTGGTTGAAGCGAAACCAGTATAAGTTGCCGCAGCACTTACATGGATTTTTACCTCTGCCTTCTCTATTTGAAAAACACTCAAATTCCTGAGTTTCCATACACGTAGCCCTAGGGCTAGGAGTACAAGGAGATAAAGGAGTTAAAGGAAGTGATTCTCACTTTCAATCTCAGCTACAGTAGTCCCTCATAATTATTGCTTGAGAGTTCAGGTCTGGTAGCTCCTGGCTCTGTACCTTGTACTCGATTAAAAATATCTGTTGTGGGATGACTATACACAAACATTACGCACATTTCTTAAGGGTTGGGAGAATCGGTAACTAACATTTGCATACCTGCTAATCCCATATATTCCTGATGGCCGATGATCATTAGCTCTAAATTAATTATTTCTCTGGTTCAGTGGTTTTTATGCAACCCGGGGTTTTGGGGTTTTGGGGTTTTGGGGTTTTGGGGTTTTGGGG